CACACTGAGGCCTATTCTCATATCTGTACCCATCCTGCTCAGCTGCATGACCAAGAGGTAGGCTTTCTTCTTCCTGGCTTCTGGATCTGAAAAATGAGCAAGGATGGATAGTTTCTTGTATTTCCTGACCCCTGAATGCCCTACCCCCAAAACCAGTTTCAAATCCCAACTCTAGAGTTCTATCTTGCTAAAATGCTGACCATGCAACCTTCTGGGGGGAGCCCTTGAGGCCTGGCCAACAGCAAAGCTACACCCCAGCACCACCTCACCACGGCTCTGCAAAATGTCAGGCTATAAACCATTCTTAGTGCTCACTGGCTTCTGAACACTGAGCGTAGAAATAGCCACTTGCTCTTTGCCCTGATGTTACAGGCACAGCCGAGTAGCTGCGCTATGCCTGTAGTGCTGACAGATCTAGGAGAAATTCAAGATTATTAACTTTCTGTTTTATTTTCTTTGTATTCTTTTGGAGACAGGGTCTCGCTATGTATTTCTGGCTGACCTGAATTCGCTATGTAGAACAATCTGGTCTGGAGCTCACAGAAATCTGCCTGCCTCTGCCTCCCAGGTGCTGGGTTGAACTTAAAAATTACATTGTGTGTGTCTTAGTTTCTCTTCTATTGCCATGTGGAGACACCATGACTAAGACAACTTATAAAAGAAAGCATTTAATTGGGAGGTTGTTTACGATGTCCGAGGGCCAGTCCATGACCATCATGGTGGGTAGCCTGGCAGCAGATGGGAGGCATGGCGCTGGAGCCACAGCTGAGAGCTTACATTTGATCCATAAATTGGAGGCAGAGGGACTGAACCTAGTGTGACACACTTCCTTCAAAGACCACACCTCCTAATCTTTCCCAAAACAGTTCACCAACTAGGATCTACATATTCAAACATGGGCCAATAGGAATAATTGTCACGCAAACCGGCACATTGTGTTTGTGTGTGTGTGGTGTGTGTGCACAAGCAAGCTATACAGCATTTGCGGATGTCAGAAAACAGCCTGCTAGAACTGGTTAGGTAAGCTCTATTTTGACCTCTCTTCCATCTTGGGTAAGAGTACCCATGTGTGCTACTATTCTTTGACTTATTGAAATATTTCTTTTTATCTTCTTACATTATTAACACTAACTGTAACTAATTGGATAAAATATATGTCTAAATTTATCTTATATGCTCAGTTTAAATAACAGCTAATGGTACCCAATTCTCAAGTGCCTTTATAGATCTGAGGATATGGCATTTAAGAAAAGAGCCTCTAACACAGAGACACACCAGCTCCTGCAGCACCCTTTAGCTCCTCCAAGAAGATACGTGGTTGCAAAGGAAATTTCACCTCCAGGCTTGCCTTTGGGTTTGGCAAAGCCACCCACACAGCAAAAGGCAGCCTTTCATGTCTTCAGCTTCCTGGATGCCTTCAGGGGAATCGATCTTCTCATCCTGCTGAGACAGGTAGACTAAATCTTCCTCACACAGGGAAATCTTTGGGCCTCTTGTACTCATAGCTATAACAGCAAGCACTGCTTCTAGGCTGATGTTCTCCAAGGACTAGGACAAATTTGGAATTGCCTGCGTAGCTAAAAAGCTGTCTCATTTCTGCTCATTTATCCCTCCCAGATCTGTCTAATGACATTTGATGACTTAAGGTACTGGTAGCTCATTACTTTATTGGTTAAGTTTCCTGCTAGAATACAGACAGGGATGCCTCTTTCACAGGCTTCATAGTTCAATGTCAACAGGTTATAGTCGTATCTTAAAAATCCAGAGGTCCCAACTCGCTTTAATTGTCTGCCTAGAGGCATTTGAAAGCAGTAGCCTTTTGCTCTGACACCAAGATATAAATCTGTTCCAGTTCTCTTCCTGAAAAATTTCTGCTGCTGTATCAAAAATCAGGTCTGATAAAAAACTAACAGTCTTCAGAGCTTATTTTAATGCCAGCCAGTTTCAAGCATATTTTATAGGTCACTCCTGCTCTCTGGGCCAAGACAAAGCTCTCTGCAGACAATGCCAACACCTGCACCAGCTCCAGGGCTTCACCATTGCTACTGACTCTCTGGGATCAAGGACACCTACTACTAAAATCTGGTTGTATCTGATATACCCAAGCCTCATTGTACATCCGGGCACTTCTGACAGTTAATATCTTCCCATAGCTGCCCTATTTATAGGACCAATAATAATTATTTTCCTCCTAGCCTCCTGCCTTCTCATCTCCCTCAAAAAGCAGGTGCCTGAGGACTCCAGAATGACAGTAAACCGGATGCCCCTCCAGCCACACCTGTTACTGACTGTGAGCCCAACTCCCAGTTCCCCACCCCATGTTGCCCATGCCCGCAGGAAGTAGCCAGACTTGAGCGGATGCCCCTATATCCAAGGAGTCTTGGATGTTTGATTGAAAGTAAGACCCCAGCCCTCTGAACCCCTATATCCAAGGGGATGATTGGATGCATCACCCCAGCTCCTGGCCTGGGAGTTGCCTTTGTCTTTACACCAATTCTGGAAAAGCCCGCCAAGCACTGAGCCCTCCCAAGGGAGGGTCAGAACCTCTTCTACAGGCTATTTAGGCTGCCACTGAGAAAAAGAACACGTAGTTTTCAGGTTTGGCATGTGCCCCCTCTCTGTCTCTGTCTCTATCCCACAATGCTTTCCTGGCCATCGGGAACACTGCAGTAAACATGGACATTCGTTTGGTCTGACTAGAATTATTTGTGTTGGCAGAGAGGCTCGTCTTAAGATTATTCCTAACAAGCCCAGAAGGAGAAAGGGCAAATTGCTGTCTGCTTGTCTCTAATGAGGCTCTCAGGGACCATGGCCCTCTTGACCATGGAAGTTCCTCTGAAGAGCTTGCCCTGTGGATCCCCAGATGTCCTTCTGCTCCTGACGGCTGAGCCCAGGCTCCAGAGCATCCTGCATACAGTCCAACAACACCATGACATTTCTCCTCCCTAAGAACGACATCTTCTGGCCAAGTGAAGAGTGTGAAGCAAGCCCAGCACTTCTGGTGACATCGCCGACTGCCATCTGCTCCCAGAGTCAGGTCAGTCGGACTTTATGCTGCATATTGGAGGTGAAACCTTCTAGGGACCCCCCTTCTTCTTAAGTGGAGCCACATAAGCAGTTCTGAGCTTACAGACCGTTCTTTATGATCACCTGTTACAACCAGCGCCTGTCTTGTCAGGTTCTGGCGTCCTGGCTGTGGGGAGTCCAGGTTGGCCAAGTGTCTGTCCATCCCTCTGACTCATCCTTAGTTCCACAAGTTCAGCTCAGGGCCCCTAGCCAAGAAGTCGTGGTCTAGAGCTCAGAGGTGAGCTCTGTTTGAGTCTAGAGAGCAACACACTGTGATTATCAGTCTGGGGGGTGGCTTTGGATGAGGCCAAATTTGGTCCCCAGAGCAAACAGGAATATGTGATTTATTCAAATTGGAGAGGATGGAGAACCTATGTTTCCTCCAAAGCCACATTGTTAATCATGGCGATGATGTCTATAATACTGGGTGTTAAATGCTTGTGGCCTGTTAGCATCTAGGGCAATCATCTGGGTGTGTATGAGTGCTTTGGTGGTTTTATATCTTTTTGTCAATATAGATTGATTGTACAAAATGTTAGTTTCATAATGGCAGCTTTACACATGCAAAATATACTTTGATCCCACGCAAATCTTATCCTTTGCTATCTTTGGCTTCCCCTCTGGCTTCCTGGTCTCTGGAAGTAATTTCCCCTTCTACTTTAATGTTTTTATTTTTATTATGCATTAATTACTAAAAATGATACTATTTAATTAAAATTGAAAAACAAATACAGTCTCTCTATATCTTGGCTGTCCTGAGACTCTCTTACATTTTTGGTTGTGAGCCTGATCTTTAACGCTGAACCATCCCTCGAGCTGCTGAGACTCTCTATGGAGATACTTTCTATGCATAAAGCTGGCCCTAAGCTCACAGAGATCTCCAGCCTCTTCCTGTGGAGGAGTGGGATTATAGATGTGTCCCACCATGCCTGAGCATGTTTCTTTTTACCATAGATCTCCCATTTGAAAGGAAACGTATCCAAGTGGTAGGACGCATTTGGGAAGCAGAGGCAAGAAGATCTCCTTGATTTGAGGCTAGCCTGGTCTTCAGAGTAGGTTCCAGGACAGCCAGAGCTACACAGAGTTACCCTGTCCCAAAAAACAGAACAGAACAAAACAAAACAACATACCCTTCCAGAAACCAAATACAATAAGCAAGCAAAAAGCCAAACAGAACTGGAGTGTTTCTGTTTTCCCAAGTCTGGCGTATTTCACTTCGTGTGTTAATATAATTTCCATCATTCTCCTTCAAACGATCTACTAATTTTCATATTTTTAAATAAAACACCATCACACACACACACACACACACACACACACACACACACACACAAAGTTTTAGTCCATTAATCTATTGACTGACATTTAAACAAGGTTGCACACAGTTAAAGCTATCCTCAGATTGGCCGTATAGCTCAAGACCTTAAACTCTTGATCCTCCTGCTTCCACCTTCTGAACACCAAGATTCAAGGCATCTACTACTACACCCTCCCTCCTAACTCTGCTAGAATTCTTTTTTTTTTTTTTTTTTTTTTTAAGACAGGGTTTCTCTGTGGTTTTGGAGCCTGTCCTGGAACTAGCTCTTGTAGACCAGGCTGGCCTCGAACTCCCAGAGATCCACCTGCCTCTGCCTCCCAAGTGCTGGGATTAAAGGCGTGCGCCATCACCGCCCGGCTTGGCTGTTTTCTCATACACCCAGCACCCATATGGTAGCTCTTAACTGTCTTTAATTTCAGTTCCTGGGTATCATATACCCTCACACAGACATTCATGCAGGCAAAACACCAATGCACACAAAATAAAAACATTCTAAAAGTTACATTTAAAAAAAACATTAGCTGGACAGGCATTGTGGTCATGTCACCCATAAACTCAGGAAGCAGGGTCATGAGGATTCTAAGTTCAAGGCCACTCTTGTCAACACAGGGAGACCCTGTCTCAAAGATCCAAAAGGAAAACAATGGTAGAAAGTTCAAGCATCACACATAACTGAGCAGAAACTCACTGTCAGACACAGTTCATCATCTTTCCTGAGACGCCACACACAATCCATTCACAGCCTGCGCACTGTGCCGATGAAGAGGTAAAGCTATGGGAGGGAACACAATGTTCGTGCTTTTGCCAAAACCTCTGTCCTCTTTCTCTATAATTCCAGTTGTCCAGTCATCACCAGGATTCCCAAGTTTGAGGATTTACTCATCTTTGTCTGTTCATAGTCAAATGAGAGGCAGCAACCAGTCGAGTGTCTCTGAGTTCCTCCTCCTGGGACTCTCCAGGGATCCCCAGCAGCAGCGGCTCCTCTTCCTGCTCTTCCTCACCATGTACCTGGCCACTGTCCTGGGGAACCTGCTCATCATCCTGGCCATCGGCACAGACTCCCGCCTGCACACCCCCATGTACTTCTTCCTCAGCAACCTGTCCTTCGTGGATGTCTGCTTCTCCTCCACCACTGTCCCCAAGGTGCTGGCCAACCACATACTTAGAACTCAGGCCATTTCCTTCTCTGGGTGTCTTACACAGATGTATTTTCTTTTCATGTTTGTGGATATGGACAATTTCCTGCTGGCTGTGATGGCCTATGACCGTTTTGTGGCCATCTGCCACCCTTTACACTACACAACAAAGATGACCCAAAAAGTCTGTGTCCTGATGGTGGCAGGATCGTGGGTCACTGCCAATCTGAATGTTCTGTTACACACCCTGCTCATTGCTCAGCTCTCATTCTGTGGGGACAATTCCATCCCACACTTTTTCTGTGACATTACTCCCCTCCTGAAACTGTCCTGCTCTGACACACACCTCAATGAGCTGATGATCCTCACAGAGGGAGCTGTTGTCATGGTCACCCCTTTTGTCTGCATCCTGATCTCCTACATCCACATCACATCTGCTGTCCTGAGAGTCTCATCCCCAAGGGGAAGATGGAAAGCCTTCTCCACGTGTGGCTCCCACCTGGCTGTGGTCTGTCTCTTCTATGGCACCATCATCGCCGTGTATTTCAACCCTGCATCTGCACATTCATCTGAGAAGGACACGGCAGCCACCGTGCTGTACACAGTGGTGACCCCCATGCTGAACCCGTTCATCTACAGCCTGCGGAACAGTGACCTGAAAGGGGCTCTCTACAGAGTGGTCCACAGAAGGACCTTTTCTGTTTAATGAGAAGATTTGTACTGATTCTTATTCCCTATCATGTTTCAGAGTTGAGCACAATTTGAAACTGGACTGTGTAAAGCTCATTTAAAAACCAATTGTTTATTTCATTTTAGGGGACTCTCATTCACCAGCTGCCATAATGGAGTTACCAAATAATGGGACTCCACCTTTTTTTGTCTTGATTGTTTCTTGGGTTCTAGGGATGGAACCCAGGAGTCTTCACACGCGAGGTAAGAGCTCTACCCTGTATTCTATTCTGCAGCCATTCATACTAACTTTAAAATTGTTTTATGTGCAATCAACTTGTTACATTTTATCTGTCCATCTGTCGAGTTCATTTTCAAGTGTTCTGTGTAGTCTGTGACTGTGTGAGCAGATGACAGAGGTCAGTCTTGTGTGTCATTTGTCAGGAATCATACACATTTTTTTTTTTTGTGTGTGACAATGTCACTCATGGGACCTTAGGCTCATGAATTAGTCTGGATTGGCTGGCCTGTGTGCCCCTGGAATCAACCAGTTTTCAGGCCCCTGCAGTGGGATTACAAATGGTATGTAAATTGGAGGTTATTGGATAACTTTAGGAGTAAATTATCTTGTTTCAATTGTGTGTGACCCAGGAATCCAACTCACAGACAAGACTGTGGCAAGTGCCTTTCTCCCCTAAGCCATCCCTCCTTCCCCTAAGAGAAGTCCTTGTTTAAGGGTCTGTAGGAAGATGTGGTAACACACGCATTTGAACACTGTGATCACCTAGGAATCTACTGTAGTGTAAAATCTCCATACAGAACAGGTGAGGGGGCTCTGGAGGGTGGGGTGACAGGGAGATGAAGGAAACATCTGAGTTGTCTCCAATGAGCAGTGTCCTATGTGTCCCCATTATGGTCTTCCTGGAGGTTGGTCCACAAAAGCTCCTCTGTGAATGTGACTGCTACCTGCAGGAAAAGCGTTTCAGAGGAGACAGGGCTTCAGGAACCCAGAGATGAGCTGGACACCGTCAGGATCCTTTAGGGGAATTCTGAATGGCTGTATGTAACATTGTAGTGTTCATGAGCTCATGTGTGACATGTGGTAAGGACACCTGCATTTAATGCTCCCTCTGCTCAGACCCACTGCCAGGTCTCTTCCTAATCTCTTGTAAAGCAAGCGCTTCTTTCCCACAAAGCCTCTTCTTTTGTGTTCTCTAATCTTGATTATTCTCTGGGTTATTTATCCTCTCCATAAGACTTTCTTCAGCTGATGAGATGCCCTGGTCCACACATTCCTTCCTCCTTGTCCTTAAGCAAAGGCAACAATCAGCTTTAGGGAGAAGAGGAGAAACAGCACCGGCAAGGCCAAGGGACCAAAGAGTATGGCCTGAGCTTTTGTTTGCTTTCATGCTGAGGACAGCTCTAGGGCCGTGTCCCCTCAGCACACACTCTGCTTCTGAGCTTCATCTGCCCTCTCACAGCTCCTGAGAGTGTTCACTGAATGAGCTTCTGTAGAAAATGAAGACCTCATTAAGAGAAAGAGCAAACGGTGCTGTAATGTCCCGAGCTGTGTTGTCCAGCCCTGTGTCTTCTCATGGCGCTCTTCTTCCTGACCAACATGGTCACCACGTCTGCTTTAATGTTTGAGAAGTGAGACTGAAATTTCTTCAAAAACTGTGTGTCCTGAGGATGATGATGATGTCCAGGTGACCCCTGTCGATGTACAGAATAGATGAATCTTGGATTGTTTGGAGGAGAAGCAAAAGATATGCATCATTAAACATTTGCAAACCCATCACTCATATTTGAACTTCTTCTCCTTTCTTAAAATAATTCTGCACATGGAATAACTTCTGTATCTAATTCCTCAGCTAATATTTTTATTGTACATTTATTTTTAATAAAATGTTTTGGGGACCTATTTATTTTACTTGTTCAAGTATTCTGCCTGGATGTATGTGTGTGCACTACATGTGTGCCCGGTGTTCAGAAACAACTTGACCTGGAGTTACAGGCTGTTGTGAGCCACCACCTGTGTCTAGGAGATGAACTCAGGTGTTCTGCAAGAGCAACAAGTGCCCTAACCACGGAGCCCCCTCTCCAGCCCACATCTGACCGCAGTGAGATCTGACACTGTAAGAGCAGCTGAGCCCAGAAGCCTAACTGAAACCCTGGCTTTGCTCAAAACCAAGGGCCTGAGTGTGCTGAGCACTCTACCCATGACTTGCATTCCAGCCCACTGTTATAATTATCCTTTCAAAACGTTACTTTCTCCTCCTTCCCCTCTCAGTTGGATTTGCTATGCATTACAGGCTGCCCTTACACTCATGATTCTCTTCCCTTAGTCACTTGATACTGGGATTGCAGTGGTGTCCATGACACTTTGGTGTTTGCCTTAATAAGGATGTGTGATGATCCATAGCTGAGTCCCAGGACTCAGAAGCAAACTCTGAAGGATCAAGAGTTCATGCCATTCTCAGCTACATCAGGTTGAGGCCACTCCTACTGCACGAGTTCTTGTTAAAAAACTTTAGCACAGTATAAACAATGCAATCCAGGTCTGTCATTTCTCTGGCACTGCTGCTGTTAGTTTTTACAGTAAACTGACACATAGGCCTCTCTGCTTCACTGCCCTGTGTAACAATGTCTTCATATCTGTTGTGGCTTCTGCCAAGTGTTTTACTTTTTTGACCTTGTATTTGGTCACATGAACTACAAGGGAAGATGTGCTGTGGGTGTGACATCTGCCCACTGATCCTCCCCGGTAGAGCCTACTCCCTAGAGGCAGACCCTGCCTGCTGAGACCCAAGAGGAACAGAGGAAGGGAGTATGAGAGACAGCAAGGGATGCCAAGTCCTGGTGACACAGTTGACATGCAGGCCAGTGAACAGGAGAGGCTAGAAGTCATTGCTTTTGAAATCCACTATGGCTGGGCTCCTTGATGACGGAGGAAAAGGACAGAGTTCATTCTCTTTTGTTCTGAGAAATGGTCTTTCTATGGAGCTCAGACTGTCACAGAGTCATCATTTTGTGTGTGTGTGTTTCTGTATGTGTGTGTGTGTGTGAGAGAGAGACACACACACACACACACACACAGAGAGAGAGAGAGAGAGAGAGAGAGAGAGAGAGAGAGAGAGAGAGAGAGAGAGAGAATACATATTCAGTGATTGGATTTGTGTCCCTGGATGGATGTTGAACCCCCACCTCAGAAGAGCATTGATTTGGTAACCCAGGTCTGGATAATGGAACCAAGTGCTGGTGCTGCAGTTCACCCCCCTCCTCCCAAGCAACTCTTATTTGATACATTTTTTTATTGATTTTATTGAGCTCTATATTTTTCTCTGTTCCCCTCCGTGTCTCTCCCCTCCCCCCTTCTACCCTCCCCCAAGGTCCCCTTGTTCCCAATCACTCAGGAGATCTTGTCTTTTTCTATTTTCTACTTCCCATGTAGATTAGATCTATGTAAGTCTCTCTTAGTGTCCGCATTGTTGTCTAAGTTCTCTGGGATTGTGGATTGTAGGATGGCTTTCTTTGCTTTATGTTTAAAAACCATTTATGAGTGAGTACATGTGATTATTGTCTTTCTGTGTCTGGGTTACCTCACTCAAAATAATGTTTTCGAGCTCCATCCATTTTCCTGTAAAATTCAAGATGTTTTTATTTTTTCTGCTGTGTAGTACTCCATTGTGTAAATGCACCACATTTTCCTTATACATTTTTTAATCAAGGGGCATTTAGATTGATTCAAGGTTCTGGCTATGACAAACAAAGCTGCTATGAACATAGTTGAACACATGTCCTTGTGTTACAATTGAGCATCCTTTGGCTATATACCCAAAAGTGGTATTACTGGGTCTTGAGGAAGGTTGTTTCCTAATTTTCTGAGAAATCACCACACTGACATCCAAAAGGGTTGTAACCAGCTTGCATTCCCACTAGCAATGCAGAAGTGTTCTTTTTTTCCCACAACCTCTCCAGCATAAGTTGTCATTAGTGTTTTTGATCTTGGATATTCTTACAGGTGTAATATGGAATCTCAGAGTTGTTTTGATTTGCATTTCTCTGATGACTAAGGATGTTGAACATTTCCTTAAGTGTCTTTCAGCCATTTTAGATTCCTCTGTTGCGAGTTCTCTGTTTAGGTCTGTACTCCATTTTTTTTATTGGATTATGTGATCTTTTGATGTCCAATTTCTTGAGTTCTTTGTATATTTTGGAGATCAGACCTCTGTCTGATGTGGTGTTGGTGAAGATCTTTCCCATTTTGTAGGCTGTCGTTTTGTCTTGTTGACTGTGTCCTTTGCTTTACAGAAGCTTTTCAGTTTCAGGAAGTCCCATTTATTAATTGTTTCTCTCAGTGTCTGTGCTGCTGGGGTTATATTTAGGAAGTGGTTCCCTGTGCCAGTGTGTTCAAGTGTACTTTCCACTTTCTCTTCTATAACGTTCAGTGTGGCTGGCTTTATGTTGATGTCTTTGATCCATTTTGTGCATGGTGATAGATATGGTTCTATTTTTATTCTTCTACATGTTGATATCCAGTTATGCCAGTACCACTTGTTAAATATGCTTTATTTTTTTAATTTGATATTTTTTGCTTCTTTGTCAAAAATCAAGTGTTCGAAGATGTGTGGATTGATATCCAGGTCTTCTATTCAGTTCCATTGGTCCTCCTGTCTGTTCTTATGCCAACCCCAGGCTATTTTCAGTACTGTAGCTCTGTAGTAAAGTTGGAAGTCAGGGATTGTGATGCCTCCAGAAATTCTTTTATTGTACAGGATTGTTTTGGCTATCTTGGGTTTTTTGCTTTTCCATATGAAGTTGAGTACCATTCTTTCGAGGTCTTTGAAGAATTTTGCTGGGATTTTGCTGGGCATTGTGTTGAATCTGTAGATTGCTTTTTGGTAAGACTGCCATTTTTAACTGTATTAATTCTGCCCACCCAAGAGCATGGGATACCTTTCCACTTTCTGGTTTCTTCCTCAATTTTTTTTTCTTCAAAGATTTAAAGTTCTTGCCAAAGAAGTCTTCCACTTGTTTGGTTAGAGTTACTCTAAGATATTTTATGCTATTTGTAGCTATTGTGAAGGGTGTTGATTCTCTGATTTCTTCCCCAGCCCTTTTATCATCTGTGAACAGGAGGACTACTGATTTTTTTGAGTTAATCTTGTATCCTGCTACATTACTGAAAGTGTTTATGAGTTGTAGAAATTTCTTGGTAGAATTTTTGGGATCACTTATGTAAACTCTCATATCATCAG